TCTAAAAGAAAGCTCATTATCCACTATAACACCTAAAATTTTGTGGTGAGTAACAAATTCAATATTATTGTAATTTAAATGGACATTTATATCGGAAGCCATATTATTCCCCCTACCAAACATCAAAGCCTTAGTTTTTGACGGATTAATTGTAAGATAATTCGCCGATGCCCAATTAGAGAATTGCTGCAGACATTCATTTACATTGCTTTCGAACAAAGATAAGTTATCACTATCTCCAGTTAAAATGAAGAAAATGTCATCAGCAAACTGCAACGTTTCACAAGATTTGAACTGCATGGTATCACGCAAGTCATTAACATAAAGAAGGAATAATAGTGGTCCCAGTATAGAACCTTGCGGTACACCACTATTTAAACTCACTGGGTCAGATTGGTTACCATTGATAGCAACAAACTGTGATCTATCTCTGATAAATGAATAAATCAGTTTACAGGCAGTTCCAGAAAAATTAAAATTATCTCTTAATTTAGTGATTAAATGAGCAAAGTTAATGGAATTGAACGCTTTTGACAGATCAAGAGATAAAAGGACACTTAATTTTCGATCATTAATATTATGGCGGATGAAATCAGTGGAGCTATGAAATATCGGAGCTATACAAAGACCTGGACCTGCATAGACAATTTTCTGTCACTGGCTGTAGCTTCCATTACCAACTTCAAATACCACATCTCAAAAAATGCCGGTGCGTATTGTGCATAAATCCTCAAAATACCGAATATAGGGAGGTACTGATGGGGCCTATAAGAAGACCTGGACCTGCATAGACAATTTTCTGTCACAGACTGTAGTTTCCATTACGAACCCTAAATACGTAATTTGAAACTACTACGGTGAATAATGACGCTAAATATTGGGTGCTACAGTTATGAGGGGCTACGAAGACGTGGACCTGCATAGACAATTTTCTGCCTTAGGCTGTAGTATTCATTACTAACTTCAAACACCAAATTTGAAACAATCCGATGAATAATGTAGCTAAAATCATCAAAATACCGAATATAGGGAGGAACCGTTATATTGGAGCTATACGAAGAGGTGGACCTGCACAGACGATTTTCTGTAATAGGCTGTAGTATACATTTTGAACTTCAAATGCCAAATTTGAAACAATTCCGGAGAATAATGTCGCTAAAATCATCAAAACACCGAATATCGGGAGGTACCGTTATGGTCCATTACATGGCCCATTTACGAACTTTAGCTTTCTACTGGCAAAATAAACATGTGTGCAAAATTTTAGCCTTGCGTGATTACAACAGACAGACGGACATGGCTTAATCGTCTTAGAAATTTACACTGATTAAGAATTTTTAGTTATTTTCTAAAATATGCAAATATGCAAGACAAAATATTGTGCAAAATGATTTGTCATAAAATTCTACTGTAGGTCCTAGAAAACTCCAAAAGTCTAAATCTTACCAAAACGCCAGGATTTAATCTATATATATATATATATATATAGTGAAATAACTGACTGAGAATAAACTCCCAGACGAAACGGCTGAAGTTACAATCTTGAAGTTCAGGGTTTGCTGCTAGATTTTACATATGGATACGTTGTAATGTTTTTGGGCAGAAAAATTGGATGTGGGTCCATTGTACAATGGTCCTCTGTAAATTTTAAAATGAAAGAAAGATATAAAATGTAAACATTTTGTTAATATTTTTTAATTTTTTTGTTAATATTTTTTGAAAAAGTTTTGTTTTTTTTTTTTTTTTGAAATATTGATTACAAATTGTTGGCAAACTAAACAAATTGTGTATACACCAACTGTTGGAATGTGTCTAAAATCTTAAAGTAGACATTCCGTAGACGAATTAGCTAGTTTATAATGAAAACACATTTTAGGGCTAAAGCCACAGTTTATGTGAATTTATGCAACAATCCTCTACAAATCATCACATCATTACATCAAATTTCACTCTAAGTCACTAATGAACGAAATTTCTATTTTCAAATATTCCCAAAAACTGAAAATATTTCCAATTTTTTTTTTTCGAGTTGACCCTTTGAATAGCATAAAATTTCGTTAAATTAAAGAAATTCGTAAAATGTTCTTGGTCAAAACAACGAATATTCCACACAAATTTTCACTGTAAATATCGGAATTTGTCAAAAATAAACAAGGCTTTTTTTTTAACAAAAATTCATATTTTTTCATAGTACACATTGAATATACGATAGTCTTTTGTTTGGAGACTGACAATGAATTTGGATCTAGAATAATTCTTTCTTTGGCACTTACTCCAAAAAAATAAATATTAAGGGAGATTTTGACTTAGATTGGAAACGTGTTATATTAACAAGGAAAAAGCAAACACATACATTTCTCTTGTGGTACCAGATTTCGAATGTAATTTTCTTTAATACTATTATTATCCAGATATATGGTTTATTCTGAGATTTATAGTGAAATTTTGTGAACAATATTTATCCTTCTGACACTTTATGCCTAAAAATATATGATATATTTTGCACCAAATCGAAAAAGACGGAAGAAAATGAATTGAAGAAAATGGACTTTTTCCGCATTTTTTGGCAACATTGATGCATATATTTTCTTCATATATAATTAAAATATGAATTTCCTTTCGTTGGTGACTCATAGTGAAATTTCATTAAAAATAATTCCGTCTTTGAAGTCATCCTTCTAAAATGATGTTTTGTAGGAGAATTTTGCACAAACCGACATGAAGTCCAGTTTTAACGCTAAGCTGAGTTTTTAATTTATGTAAATTCCTGGCGTTTAGGAAGATTTAGACTTTTGATGTTTCTTGGGACCCATAGTAGAATTGCGGCGAAATATATTTGTAAAATTTTTACCAAAAAATGAACTGTTTAAAATTCTTGGACAATGAATTCGACTCGTACTTTGTTTACAAAAATAGATGGATAGACGGCCAAAAATCGACTCAAATAAGATTCCAGTGTGATGTAGGGCATAAATATATTCATTGAAATGATGGGTGTAAAAAAGCTCGACAGCACATTGTCATTACATGGCACTAAGAGCCATCTATTGATAACTTTTGGTTTTTATATGTCCCCAGTTTTTGTATGCTTCAATTTTGTTATTTAAAAATAAAGCATACTTTTAGGGATTTTTTTTTTGGGATTCTTTCAACCGTAGAAAGGAACGCATATTATTTTAACAATCACATTAAGATGGCTTTATTTCTACATTTTCAATTTTAAAGTCCAAATGCCAAATGGGAAACCTCCAGCTTTCGCAAGTTTGAGGATTTAAGTTAAGGCTTTTTCTTCTACGCAGCCTCTTTTCTCAAATACAAATCCTGCAAGCCTACTCTCGCTTGTGTGTGTTCGCCCTTTTAAACTGACAACTGCAGTGACACCATACACCATAAAATAGGGGAAATGAAGCAACTCCTTCCTTTTTGGAACTCCACAAGAGATATTTATCTGGATCCTCGTTTAGATTAAATGTTCTACTTCTTCTTCAATATGCACATAGATTCAACTTTCAATTGAATTGTATAGGTACTCTTTATTATGGTATACAAACTTCGGTGCGCTCAAAGTGAATGTTTTTGGCTTGTCAACAAAAAACTAGCCATAGACCACAGACAGATTAAGCATATTCGATTTCATTGCACTCTACAGTTTCTTCTCTTATGGATCTGATTTTATTTCATTTTCTCCATTCATTGAGTCGATGAAAACAAATGAAATACAATCCAATGAAAACAATATTGTAGGGTGTACGTAATGTTATTTATTAATTATTCTATCAAGATTTATAGCACGTCAATGACATGCTGGCGAGAAATAGTTACAGTCCAAGCCAAATTGTTTTGCGACCACCAATCAGTTTTTATTTTAAACTACGACAAGAACATTGAAAATACAATTTTTTTCTTCTTCCCTAAAAATGGTCCAATTTCAAAAAAGTACAGTATGTTTGTAAATTAAAAAAAAATTGCCATTGATATTGATTTTTTTTATTTATTATCAATTTCTTTTTTTTTTTTGCAAGTCTTACTTGGTGCATTTCATGTGGCTGTTGATGACATTTATTTATGTTCTGGACGATCTAAATAAGAATGCCAACCATGATTGCGGTTGCGGTGGTGGTGGAAGTCACAAATCTGGTTAATGACATTTTATTTATTTAATGTTGTTATTGAAATGAAATTTCTGTAAAAATATATGCATCAAAATAAATAAAATAGTTACTATTTTATTTGAAAATATTTTATTTGTTATCTCCATAAATCTTTTATGAAAAATGGAATTTTATACACCTCATGATTTTAAAAATAAAATTTTCAAAAATGAGTAAAAGGACACTGATGAGATTCATCTTCGCGTCGAATCTTTGCTTATCCAAAAAAACTACCATTCAACATATACGAGATTCATTTTTTTTTTCTTTTCAAAGTTTTTTGTTGTTGCGGTTCATATCGTGCTAACCCGGTTCTGTCAATCATGATGGTCAGATGTTCTCTGCAATAATTAATCCACTACAAATATAAATTTATATGACTAAACCATCCTAAACGTAGCATGGCATAAACTTCATTGATTTGTAAAGGCAACCAACTTTCTTCAGCTTCAATTAATAAGGATTCCATTGGATTGCAAAAACAGTGTTCATATTATATTGAATTATAACCTCAGTGGCTGCATCATATGAATACTATTCAATTCTGCCTAAATGCCTGTTAATCTAGAAGATCTCTTTCATAATTATTTTTGAAACTCCTGTTTTAGATCATGAAAATCTTTTTAGATCAGTTTTGTAATATTTGTGGACATTAACTTTTTTCCAACATACATACATAAATGGTTCGGACAAACATCGTCGCAAATTTCCTTACACGGATTTCATTCAAAGACTTGTGGTGTTCAAAACCATTATTTCTCAGAGTCACATTTTTGATCGTAGGTCGTGATGTAAACCTATTAGTCTAGCGTATAATCAAAATTAAAATTTCAATCAAAACACTGTAACTTTAAGTTATTAACAGATATTTATTGCAATAATTTTATTTCATGAAGCTGTATGAAAGTAGAGATATTTTCGTTAATCACATAAGTTAGATATTATTTTAAAGAACCGTATTCTATATATCCTTGACACGAGATGAACATTCAGAACTCAAGGTGATCTTTCACATTACATTTATTATTCCTTCTGATGTGAAACAAATTGCATGACCCTGAAATATAAATAAAACTTTGCTCACATCATCAACCTTGTGCTTTTTTTAGTGCTTGTATAATTCTCCGATGCATTGTTGCTACATCTACAAATGTACGTTCTAAGAATGAAAGAAAACCGAGTAAACAATTTGTTCTATCTTCAATTACAGAGAGTATGCAATTCAATATACCACTAGTACAAAAATAATCGTTTGCTTAAAATACAACAACTGTTTAGCAGTTATTAGTTAGCATTATGTGTTCCATTATTATTGCTGTTACCACTATTGTTGTTGTTATTGTTTAAACTATTTGCATGTATTCGTTCCAATTGTGTCAGTCTCTCCAATAGATTGGCAAATTGTTGTGCCAAAACCATAACAGTCGTGGTCTGTTCATTCTGAACACCTGTTATTTTTCTAATATTCAAGGTTTCCATATACATCTTTTTGTACAGATCAGCTTTTTGTTTTGGATCCTTGGTGTTCAACAACAGCTTTATTAGGGTCTTCAGGGCATTTTGTAGGCGGCTCTCAAACAAAAGTATATGTTTTCGAAATTCTGTTTCACTACCAACACCACCACTACCGCCACCACTAGCACTCGCCGAAGCCGAATTCCCGCCCACTGTGCTTGGATTATCAGCGGACGAATTCCAATTACTTAGAGCGTATTCAAACAATGGCTTGGAATTGAGACATATATCCAATAGTTGTTGTAAGTGTTTAATTTTTTGTGTATTGTTAAGAGAATCTGCAAAAAACATGCAATTAATTTGTGTGAAAAATTTAATAATTTTAATTTTTTTTTATACTTACTCTCAGCCAAAAATTCTTGCAATGATATACGTTCCAATTGTATCACCAAATAATCGGGTGCTTCCCTCAAACTATCCAAAATACTTGCTGCCTTTTCGTAATGATATTTACAGAGTTGAATGATAGTTTTCGGTAGTGTAGTTGAATCGGAATAATTGTTTCTCAATTGAATGTGATGAAAGGAAGCAATTCTGAAAAATAATTTAAAAAATAAATTAAAGTTCGGATTAGATAGAAGAAGGTTCATTATATACAACTCGACTGTTTCCTTTCTCAAAATCCCATATAAATGTTGAAATACTTTTTGAATTACTTATTTATATATTTGACGGATGAATACACTTCTACAAAATTCTATATTTTCTTACTCATAGTCAATCTACCGAATTTGAAAAACAAATATATTAATGAATACACATGGTAAAATAATGAACTCTGTAAAAAAAACATGTTTTCGCCGTTAATGGAGGAAAATGTTATACACTTGGGATAAAACAGTTTATTTTTTAATTTAATTTTCTGAAATCCCCCAAAGAAAAGCCAAGAACACTCTAATAATCTTTACTAAGGAACGTTTTTGCTTTTGGTTTATACTGGCAACTCCCTACAACGAGATACCAAAGCAGCTGATACAACACAACTGTCAGTTGCGAGAGCCAACTAGAAGAATTGTCAAATCTTCGTCATCATAAATATATAGAGATTGCAGTACAAAACTTGGGATATTTATGCAGAGTAAAAAAATCTCCGAAACATCGAAGTTGTATTAATTTCAACTGATTGACATAACATTTGCTGTCGTAGACTAAAAGAAAGTAATAATTCAAAAACATATATTAAGATATGCGTCTTTCCAAAATTTAACTTTATTGTCTCGTTCATCAATTGTCGCTCTCATTTGGCATCTCTACGACACGAGTGGTGAGAGAATTTTGATTTTTCTTAAAGAAAAAAAATATGCTAAGGTCTTTTCTGCGGCTAACAAGGCTTCAGATATCTATCAAACAGGCAAGAAGTGCTTGTTTACAACGAAAAATAGCCATGAATATGGACAAAGTATACTTTCGTCATGATCCCAGTAGCGAAGATTTGCACATAAGCTTTCGTTATGCCAATCCGGAACTTAATATTGACAAGGAGTTCAATTTTTGCCGCAAAATTGACGAAAAACTTGAAGTCACTTTGAATAGGATACGTGGAAATATAGAAAAGGAATTTAATAAAAAATTAAGAAAAGGTAAAAAGAAATCATCGACACAAGTGCAAGAATCGCTGCCAGAAAACCTTACAAACGGAGAGGTATGTTCATAGGTGAGAACCTACTTACATTGTTACATTGACCCTTATAATCAAAATACAACTAACAACTCCTCAGATATCAATTGAATTTCGGCGTTTCGATGACAAGCTGGAGGATATTACCTTTGCCGATATGCTGAGGGAGCAGCCAAATAACATAACCTTAAAAGTATTGGAGCAAAACTTCGATGTTGTGGTCAATCAGCCATGGGTGGTAAATCTTGTACTTCCCACCTCAATAATGGCGGGTTTTACTGTATATCCCACCAAATTGGAAATGAAATATTCCGATAAAGCTTTTAGTCGTGCAGAGTGGCTTAGAACTAAAATGGTATGATTGTGAGGATATATAAAATTATTTAAAATGAAACATTTCTTTCCTCCTGTAGCCAGCGTCGGGCAATATTCAACATGCAACTTGGACAAAATGCGGAGAAGGCTTCGCCTATGAAACCTCCAACGATGATGTGGGTCATCATTTAAAATTTGTAGTGACACCGGGAAATTCCCAAGGCCAATTTGGACCGGCTGTTGAACAAATCAGTAAAAACGAAATACAGGCTGGTCCTGGAGAATGCCCCTTTGAAACAAGACACTTTTTTACCCAAACCCGACTGACGGATAACGCCTTTCGTGTCGTGTCCTACAACATTCTAGCTGATTTGTATGCAGACAGTGATTACTCCCGTAGTTATTTATTTCCGTACTGTCCCCCCTATGCTCTAAAGGTTGACTATCGCAAACAATTGTATATCAAAGAGCTGCTTGGCTATAATGCCGACATTATATGTCTGCAAGAAGTTGATATGAAGATATTTGAATATGATTTGAAGCCTGTGCTGGAAAATGAAACGCATGGCTTCAGAGGTGTAATTGCACAGAAGGGAAGCTGTGGGGAAGGTATTGCGACCTTTTACCGTTCCGATCGTTTTGAACTTGTTGATAGCTTTAGCATAAATATCGGTGAACAAATACGACAACTTGATGTTTTCCAGCAGTTATGGGAAAAAATTAAATCAAACGAAAAGTTGGTGGAACGCATTTGTGATCGTAGCACAACTTTACAGTTGAATTTACTCAAATTTTCAAGTGATAGTTATATTTTGGTGGCAAATACCCATCTCTATTTCCATCCAGATGCCGATCATATACGTCTTTTACAATTCGGATTTTGCATGTTATACATAGAAAGTATCTATAAGAAAACATACGAGAAATACTCACTACAAAACGAAAATCAATTGGCAATTGTATTTTGTGGGGATTTTAACAGTGTTCCCGAATGTGGTATTTATCGTTTGATGACTGAAGGTTTTGTGGACAAAGATTTCATCGATTGGAGCAGCAGTAAGTGACTGATGCTATATTGTATTGTGTTTTTTTCATTGAAATGTTCTTACTCCAATTCCAGATACGGAAGAAGCCGTGAAAGGCGTATCTCTTAGCCAACCATTTAGCATAAAATCGGCCTGTGGTACACCAGAATATACCAACTACACCCATTTATTTAGCGCATGTTTAGATTATATATTTTATCAAAGTGATCGCCTAGAAGTCTTGCAATATGTCCCCTTACCAACGGAAGAAGAACTAAAAGCCAACACAGCCATACCATCCGTTGTGTTTCCTTCTGATCATGTAGCGTTAATAGCAGATTTAAAGTTGAAAAAGCATTAACAATAAGTAATAAAATTGTGAAGTAAATTATAATCACGTAGAATTTGGATACATGCATGCATTTTTAATTAAGTTGCCAAATTATTTACATAAGATCATAAATGTTGAGCACCTACTTTAGGTGATTATAAATCACGGCAACTTTTTGATTTACTCTTAAAATATGACGCCTATCCAAAATAATTTTATTTCACCCATATCTTATGCACTGCAATTGCAAATAAAAGGACTTACCTTTGATGAATCAATCCGGAGCGATAAGTGTAAACAACTTGCCGGGCACCAGGATGTTCGACATCACATAACTTCAATGACTTTTGCAAAAGATCCAATACTTCTTTCTCTAAATCTCCACGACATGTCTAGAATGAGAAATGGTAACGTTAGATAATAAAGTTGGAATAATTTTTAACAACTACAATTTTAATAAGTTCGAGTTTCTGAATTTTTATTGCCAATACCGCATTACACATATCAAATTTGAAACCCGGGAGATTTTCTATCACATATACGCTATGAACTTCACAGTTGAAACAAACTTGATTTCGTATATGTGAATAAATGTATCTACTTCCTGACTCCTGCCACATTCGCATAGCTCTAATGGAGATAAAATCTTAAATATAACTTAAAAACATATGTGTGCTTACCTCATCTGCACTGCTACAATCTTGCAGCTGTTTAGCAAGGGTAAATGTTGCTGTTGATAATTCCCAATTCACCAAATCCCAGAGTTCTGCGTTCGATTTGCGTGATCCCAAAACATCTTGAGCTTTTTCGTAGAATGAAAATGCCTCGTTATAGAATCGTTTTTGTTGTTGTATAACATCAATGCTGGAATTTTAACGATTACATTTAGAACTTACAATGTCTATAAATGTGAATCAACTTACTTCTCATTTGTAATCAGATGGGCTCTGAAACGCATAAATCGTCCCATATTACAATATAAAAATGCCATATTCACATTATCCTCCACCAAAGCAAAAGCTTTAATACCTCGTATTAAACAATCATATGACTTCATAGCTAATTTCAAATACAAAGGTTCAGCCGTGGTATTCGTTTTTTCTTCAGCATCGTTATCGTTTTCATTATTTTGAGATTTGCCCTCATCGGGTTCGTTTGCCTTCATCTCCTCCGAGTTATCTTGTAAATGTTTTGTATATTGTTCCTGAGACCAAAACATATACTTTACACCTAATTCATTGCGTACATTTCCAAGTCGTCGCAATAACTCATGACGAGCTTCTTCATCAACAGTTGTTTTGGCCGTTGCATTAGTAACAAGTTCCAATGCATTTTCGTAGCATGCACAACTCGATACCATAAGAAGTTCTATATTCTCCTGGGGAATGATTAGCTCAGAACATTCATCGGTTTCTGAAACACATTAGCATAGACAAATTAGACCCCATAATTAGGACTCTGTGTTATGGTTTCCACTCACCCAGTTCCTTTTCCAGCTCCATTTCAATGTATTTTTCCGATACGTCTGTCTTATGGAAATCTTTAATGTTCTGTCCTATGTTCTCCCAGTTTTTAGCCATTTGAAAGAAACAGTCACCGGCTCGGCCCAAAAGGCAACGCTTTTGGGATACCATGCTGGAAACATATTTCAGAACCACATGCTGACATTTACATGCCATGTATATGTAGCGCAAGCTAAGACCATATTTCTGTTCGACATATTGATATTCTGCCAATGTTGCATACGTTAGACAAGCTTTCTCCAACAACAACAGTTTCAAATGGATATTCCACGACCCGAATTGTTGGGAATTGAAACTTACAGCAATCTGTTGCGGAGGTATGGCATGACTGTCGTTTGCCGTTTGAGCTGCCGTTAAGACAGGTTTTAAGTCACGACTTTGAGATTTCTTCAATTTTGACTTTTTCCCCCTACTTTCGGCTAGAGACTGCTCTGATGCTACTGTATCTTGCTGTGTTTCTGGTGATTTTGATGGGGATTTTAATGTTTCATAAGGCAAAGGGATAGGTTTGAATGGCTTGGCCATGTTAGGATTCTGTTCTTCATGCAGAATTCTTGCCTTTTCCTCATCTTTAGCTCTAGCCTCTGATTGTTTGATAAAAGTTTCCTCATTTTTGTTGAAAAATTGCAGACATGACAAACCTTGATTAATATGTTGCAAAGATATACAGCATCTCTCTTCGACCGTGGCAATCAGTGGTGAAGGTCTTTGCTTATTCGATTTGGGTTGACGACTGTCAAAGGTAAAATCCTTGAGGGTATCACAAATATTTTGCACTGCCACATTATGATCTTTGCTCAGGTCTCGCGCATTGTCCTTATTATCATAAAAGAAGTCTTCTTCATCTTCTTCTTCCTCGTCATCTTCCTCATATACTGATTGGGTATCCGAATCAGCATCACATACATCAAACTTTGGGTCTTTTGGATCTATTCCAGCTGGAACATGCAAATCGGACAGTATATAATGAGACGAGGTAACTATTTGAGGGTACTTTTCTTTATCCAGCAATTGTATACAATTATCCAAAAGAGCTCGAATATTCCCTGCAGTCTTTGGACTTATTGAAGCATTTCGGTTTTTCATATTTCTGGCCACGGTGTAGAGAAGCATTGCAACTGGTACGGTGAATGGGTTCCCTTGAGTCTCATCGCATTCCTCATCTTCAGAGCTGCTTTGATTCTTGCACAATGTCGTCAAGTCGTACAATTTAACCACATCGTCATTACGCCCTTTGAACAACCAATATGTGTGGCCTTCCTTGGTGGCATTCGCCTTCAAAAAGGAAAGAATATTTTGTGCAACATTCTTGACTAGCTGTGGAGAGAATTGCGAGTCCTCCAAGTAAGGTAAATCTTCAGTTTTTATTATTTCATACTTCTGCACAATGCCATCCAAATGGTAACACATCACAACCTCGGGTACATTGCACATCAAATTATCCAACCAATAATCAATGCCGGTAAGTACATTAATGGGCTTTGCCATATCACGTAGCCTGAGGCTAATGCAAGGTCTATTGGGTCCACCAAAAATAGGCATATCAGTTCCAATTAACATGCGTATATCCTCAAATGTCCACACAACATTGCGTTGGAAAACATGAGAGGAATTTGGGTCTGGAACATTTTCCTCCACCTTAGGTTCAGGTAGAAGGGGTCCCGTAATAGGCAAGGCCTTTCTTTGTTCCTTGTTCTCACCTGCAAGTTTTTCATTTACATCACAGTTGGGCGACTGTTTTAAGGAATAATACAAAAATTTTGATAGTAAATTTTTTGTCTGAATTGCCTCTCGTGATTTATCTTTAAGACACACACTGTGGCCACCATCATCATAGGCCAATATTTGCTCCATTATAAATGTCCTAAGCCAATTCCAATCATCATCGGCCTTTCTTAGTAAATACTTTTGTATGTCGAACTCGTCCAACAACAAGGTGTTTCCCACCTTATGCACAGTCATACTAACAGCTCCCTTCGAGGCGTATGGCAATTTCAGCAGCTTCTTGATATTTTCTGCATCGGCTACAACATCTACCTCGCCCACACAATCCGGAAACATATGAGCCATGCGAAAACTGGCAAAGCCGGGATTATGATACAGTGCCTGCTGTAGACCATAATTGTTGTCAGCACTAGTCAACCAGTTGGACGGAGGTAAATTTAAATTGGTATTACATTCTAAGCGATTAAATTTAACTGGCGCTTGAATCTGTGAAAATTTGACCACGGCTTTTGATTTAACTGTCTCTTCAACTTCATGAGGTTCAACATTCTGACACAATTCAATCTATGAATGAAGAAATATAAATTATGTATTTATTTGTTTTTATTGATCTGATTTAACAAACCTCATCAGCGCTTTCCGATTCCATTGTTCATTACACTTAATAAATTAATTTGTTGAAATAAATGTCCTTTTCGCCTGTTCTAATTTGTTCCAGAAATCGTCGAAATTAAAAACAAACAATTCTAGTGCTAAACAACAGCTGATAGAAAAGCAGAGCGACTACGTTTATTAGCTGCTACGAAAACGGACACCGGTGAGCAGAGTTTGTAGTTCAATTGAACGATTCACTGAAACGATCCTCCGAAATAATTTAGTATAAACATTAGTTCAGGCTGCTACCAAAATAGCTGCGTGCGTTAGGTATGTACGATAACCCAATATTTTGTAATATTTGGAAAAAATATTCCAAAAAATAACCCAAAAGTCCAGTAAATCAGAGCGAAAAAATTTTTCATTTTACACCTTTTATACATGCTATCCGGGAAGAGTATATGTAATTCCTCGGAATAAGCATATAAGTCGTATAGAGTATGTTCGATTTATTGAATTTTGTCTTATAGTATTTTTTCGCCACATCTAGAATCCGTTGTAAAATCTGTATATTAAGTAGCATCTTTGGGATCTACATTGGTACTGTGGTACACTCCACAGTTGCAAATGTTGGCGTTCGAACAATAACAAAAAACTAAAAAATGTATTTTCTCATGATAAAACATTGAAAAATTCATTATTTTCCTGCAGAAGGTCACCAATGTGAATAAACACTTATTTCAATATCAATTGTATGGTAACACCCGTCGTCTGTGAGCGCTTTAATACCCTCTTTAAAAATGACAATCATTGATCTAGAGACCCCTAAATATTATAAAATAGAGTTGGGCAATCTGGTTCACTGAACCTAGTTGCTTTTATATCTGGACGCAACAAAGATTATAATTCCTACACCAGCACTGAGTACAGCAACACAATGCAATGCAACAGTGAATGAAATGCTAAACTAGATTCGTAATTTTTCGATTACTAATCATAGTCTAGTGAACTAGACCGAGTGGCTTATTTCATACGCTCTTTTCAATAAATCGTTCAATTGAACTAGTTCATTCGTGAACTGTACAACTCTTTTTTGAACTAGTTTTTTTTCGGAATAACACAAATTTATTGTAAACAAGAAAAGGATCTTAAATTAATATATCTTAAAAAAAAAAACAAAATTAAAGGAAGCCCATCATTATTTTATCTATAGTCAACGGTCACAATTTCTATTTTCCCCCGGATACAAATCATGGGTGGTTGTCGTTGCTTTTTCCGTGAATGCCGGGTAAACAGCTATAAACAAACTCAAATTCACTTCTTTCGCGTACCATTAAAGGACGCTGAACGCTCGAAAAAATGGATTGCTTATGGAAAACTGGAATACATGTTGAACTTTCCGCCAGCAAAACAAAAAAATGTTGTTATTTGTTCCAGACATTTTCGGGATGAGTGTTTTATGAACTATAAAAAAGATAGATTGACACCGACAGCAGTTCCATCCATATTCCGTTTATCTAGGACAAAGGCATTGGATTATGAAATGGATTTGGAAAATGGTGTATTAGTAACATTACCAGAAGTACAATTAAAACATTTAGTGCCGCCGGAGGGATTTGAGTGTCCCTTGGGTTTGGAAAATGACCAAATTTTGTTGAGCAAATTGAACGATCTTGAAAATCCTCAGGAATGCGGAGCAGTTAAGGTACTAAATGGTGTTATGTTTGTTAGGGAGGCTGTTGAGAATATAGCCCCATCAACATCGGTTGGTTCTTCCAGTCGTTCACTGATCAAACGCCCTCAAAATACCCAATGGATTGAAGATGGTATGGAAATGAGCTGCAGCACCAGTAAAAAGCAAAAAATTGATCAGGTAGCGTTGCCTCAAGGCACAATTATTGAATTAGAAACTCCCACCATAATTAATCATCAAATAATTGAAGTTGATGGTAACTTGTGGATTGAACCTGAATCATATAGCATAGCAAATAAGGATGGTGAATTCGAACTGATTGAAGCCACAACAGATGATGAAGAAACTTTCAAAGATCTGGAGGAAATTGAAAACAAATCCTCGAATGAGACAAGAAATGTGATTTTGGATGGCAACGAATGTAACCTTGAACAATGGGAGGACAATTGCAAGGACACTGAACAAGAGGTAAATAATATCACCACGGTTATTATCAATACACCTGGAAACAGTGACATTATTTCTTTGGACAAAACACCAGCAAGTAACAATGATGATGTCTTGAATAAGCTACTCTTAGAGTTGAATCTAATCAAAAAAGAAAATGCCAGTTTAAAGAGAGACGTCGAAAGTTCACAAATTCAATCTAAAGAATCGGAAAGAAAATTGCGTGAAATGTATGAGCAGCATATGGAAACCGAAAGGACTAAGTATGAGGCGAAAGAAAGTTCTTTATTGAAGGATTTGGAGGCATTGCGGAATGAAAATAAAACCTGGAAAAAGAAATTAGAAAGCACACAAATGTTGTCTAAAATATCGGCTAAAAAACTAAAAGATCAATACGAACAGCAAATGGAAACTGAAAGAATGAAATATGCGTCAAAAGAAGATGAGCATCTAGAACAAATTAAGGCATTACAGCAGGAATTGAACAACAAAAAGGAAGAACTGACAAAGTCCATAAATACTTTTGAAAGTTTAAGAAACGAGTTGAGCACCTTACAAACCAGAAACTCACAGTTGATTGAACAACAACTCCAGAGTGATCTGACGCTACAACAGCACAGCGATTTGGATATTAAATACAAGATGTTATTGAATAACCATGAGGAGTTGCAAAAAAGCCATGCTAAACTAAAAGAGGATTTTAAAAAATTGGAGAATCAATTGCAGAATCAGGTTGCCACCATTACTACTACAGATCCAGTGCCCGTTGCAGTGACAAAACCGCCTGCAGCAGTATCTACCAATTCATTAACTAAAGCTCAGCTCTTCAATGGTATTAAACGTTATATTAGCTCCTCAATGGTGGCCTTGTTACGCATGGAAATGTTTGGCAATTCTGATAGAGAATGGAAAACAGACGAAAAGCAGGCAGCAGTAGATCTTTTGCGTCTGGGCGAAAATGTTTATAAATACTTTACAGATGAATGGCGCTTTCGTCTTCCTGGTTTGCGTGATGTTCGAGATTGGCTCAGTCAATCAGTACAAATGGATGAAGAGGAAGACCTTTAGGTTGGTAGTGTAAATATTCTAGAAATAAATTATATATAGACATATATATTTATGTTTGGTAGGTTCATATCTACTTCTTTTAATTATAATAAATAGATTTATATTTGTATTTTTAAGGGAAGTAAACTTTTTTTAATTATTGTTCTTTTTTCCCTGTATTACGGAACAAAATTGCGTACTTTCGACAATTACTTTAGTTTATCACTAATTCTGGATATAAATTTCTGATATCAATTGGTTCCGCCAAATCGCACACAATTGAAGCCGGCTAAAAATAAAAAATGATGAATTGAAAATATAGATAAACAAGCTCTACAACAATAACAAACAAATACCTTAAGTTCTGCCACACAGAATTCCGAACTTGAGGCATCGCATGTCATTCCTGTTGGACAAGTGCCCACTACATCCGATGGTATGGGAGCTCCAAAACAAAAAGAAAAGGTTGTGCGAGATGTACAGGCAAACACTTGATTCGAATTGCACAGGCCACAGCTAGATGTATCACCACAGCTGGCAGGTAATGTATTACGTTGGAAACAAATATTGGGTAGATTTGTACAAACCAAACCGTCTGGACATGTAAACAATTGATTGGTGTTTGGGATATTTTCTGGAATAATACAAGGCGACTTGCAGTGGTATCTTTTTGGCAATAATTTCTGAAAATGTGTGTAATTTACCTCCATAACACAAATGATAAGAGGTTTCATTTACACAGGCCACATTGTTTTCCTGGCACTCATTGCAGACAGCAACCACCGAAATATTGTATATTAATCCCAATAGGGAAAGTTGTACCTGTTAAAATATAATTAATTAATTTTTTTATCACCATTTAAATAAAATTATATTCTTCTACTTACAAACAATTTTATTACAAAAGAAAATGTCATTATCTATTTTTCAAGATCTTAAGTGACTAACGATTTTTTTTCCAATTGGTATCAATCACACACCCACAATGACTGTTGAAATACTACTATTTCGAATTTGACAATTTCACTATCTTATTTTGAAACACCTATCTTACCTCTATTTGTTTGTATGCTTAACTGTTTCGTTATTAGCAGCGCTACCGTGTATAAGTAAGGCATCCGATGTTTATTTTTACTTCTGTTGTTAATTAAAATCAATGATTAGAACGACACTCGAATGAATTAACACCACCGGCGGTTATCCATAAAAGAGTTTATTACAAAAGTCTTTGATGGGCAACCACTTGTTAAAACATTCATAAATTTCTTTACTACCTGACAGTGTAAACATTGGGAAACAAGATCTAACATATCTTCATGGGAGTCATGACGACTGAATTTGGGAAATTTATATAAGATATTGAGATGTTAAGTGTATGTTGCTGATTCAATCGTTAAGAATAATTTCCAATCAAAATATTCGAATAACGACTATGGCTGTATACCGTGCAAAAATGTGCAGGAAACACTTGATTGTGATTGCCGGGTAGTTACAGGATCAGGGTTTAATTTCTTTATGCTCCTGTTTGTAACATGAAAAAAGAGACGTTACTTTTGATGGTATCAGTTTCTAACTCAATGTACTTTTACAATCAATATCTTGTTTAGTTGAGATCCAGGTTTGCAGAAATAACTAGTGTGACCCAATAATTTCCAAACAAAATATTCGAATAACGAATATGGCTTTATACCGTGCAAAAATGTGCAGGAAACACTTGATTGTGGTTGCCGGGTAGTTACAGGTTCAGGGTTTAATTTCTTTATGCTCCTGTTTGTAACATGAAAAAGGAGACGTTACTTTTGGTGGTATCAGTTTCTAACTCAATGTACGTTTACAATCAATATCTTGTCTAGTTGAGATCCAGGTTTGCAGAAGTAACTTGTGTGACCCAAGAACGAACCCTATTGAAATTGCTAATAATCATTTCAGATTTGTATATAGCTGCCTTACATAATTTCCTCTGATTTTTTGTGAATTGGTTTGTGAAATATCAAAACCTCGAGCGAAAGCACTTCAGAGAAAAAAATTGGGACATACTCGATATAACTCGAGTAAGAGCGAGAATGCTTGGTTCGTTTTCGATTTGGATTTAAATTGTATTTTTGCCGAATATTATTTGTCAGACCGATGTTGTATTTTCTCAAGCTAGAGCTTCAAACAATTTTGCTCTTAGAATAGTGCTGCTAAACTTCCAGCCACTGAATACGTTAGCTCTATTTGAAGCAGCAAGAAGTGCAGTGAGACTACGGGAAGGTGGTGGCACTTTTCACCGGCTGTTCATGCACGATTCCTGGACATACCAAAAGGTCGGAATATTCTAGGTAAAATTAATACAATTAGATATTACATGCCCACCTTCTTCGACTCCAATTACATTGACGTTATAACACCTGATAGCGACGCATCTACAGATACGGCTAAAGTGTTAAAAGACTGCAATAGCACAACCGGACCAGTGATTATACAGGGTGAGATAAAAGAACTGCAACAAAGTCGAACGCCATAATTTTAACATTTTTTTTTTAAATTTTATTGAATGAAGGCAAAAAATGTCGGAAATAGCATCAAATTTTTGAATACGTTTAAATTTGTTCGAATTGGTCAACTTTGGCACAAATTATGGCCTTCAAACGCCCAATGAAACCATCACAGGCTGTCCGAATGGTGCTCTGCGGTATTTTGGCCCATTCCCGGCGAAGTGCTTGCTTGAGGTGATCGACACTTTGATATTTTTAAGTGGATTGGTATCCGGAGATTTTGATGGCCATTGTGCGCTGGGAATAAACGAGTAACCTCATTTTGTCACCATTCTTGGGTGGTGCGTGCTGAGTGCGATGATGCTGAGTCCTGTTGGAATGTCCAAGGCCTGCGGCCAAAATGTTTGCGTGCCCAAGGCTTTAATATACCCTCCAGAATGTTTTCGCGATAATATTCAGCATTTATTCTGATGCCACGGACGATTAATACGGCCGGAGAGATTTATGAGACCAATAAGGTATTATGTCAGCTGCTTCAAAAAACCTGTCATCGAAGAAGATGGCACTTGGTTACCGGTTGCAGGGTATCCAAGGCCATCTTACCGGTAATCTCGAGAAAAAGAACCAGCTGCCTTCGGTCACTTAGTTGGTCAGATCTAAGAATCGCGGTAGGCTTAATGACTGTCAATTGCAGTATACTACTATATATACTTCTCTCTTTAATCCCCCTTTATTCTCTTTCTCGTTCCGATATCCATCATATCACCAAGAACCCGGAGTGTAGTAGTTGTCGTCTCCCATGTTGTTGCGCATCCTTAAACCAAACCAAAACTTCAACCAAGTCGATTTAGATATATCTATAGCTACCATATAAAGGCTTTCGCAAAGTCAACATACCTATTTTTTTGGTGGAAATCAGCCCCAAAATCTCCAAACTAAATCAAGATATAAAGATCGGACACTACTAATGAAACTTACTTAATTACTTCACTTCAATTAACATAGGTGAAACATTTTATATGCCACGAAATCAAACAAATCTGTGTTTAAACTCGTTGTGCACGCCTTCATGTATTAAAAACTACGAATTTAGTTTTATCTTCTCATAACCATTTTTTTTCTTTATTTTAATTTGTTCAATTACGTAAGATGTAAATATGACATTGATTGCATATGACAGTTTGAATGCATACAAATGTATATGAATTTTGTAATATAATCCATTTATGTTTGGAAAATAATTTAAACATTTTCAGATGATAATATGTGAATTTAATACACCATTTTACTTTTTGGAATTGTAAAAAAAACGAAGTAATTGTTCTACATAACTAGATCTTATATGGAATAAGTGTCAGTTTAAGTTGTTGATGACAAAAGATCAAAATGCTACTCATCTTTTTCTTTTTCTCAAAAGAAAGACGCTAAAGCTAACTTACAAAATGAATGGGAAAATTGCACGTCTTTGTTTGGGATAATCTTTGAACTCTTTTCTGTAGTTGCGGTGTTTGCCCAAAGCCCAAACGGTCATTTGGAAAGCACCAGCAAAGGCGAACAGCAGGGCAGGCAAACAAGACGTCATAATGGAGAAGGATATCCAAGCACCGATTTCATAGGTGTAGTTGGGGCAAGAGACCAAGCTGTTGAATAAAAATGATATGTTGTTATGAGTGAAATGTTGTTTTGTGTTGATATTTCTAAATGAATACTCACTGGAACAAGTTTGTCAATGGATTGCCATCGGGTACGGGAATTTTGCGTACCTTAGTGCCAGGTGGTCTCAAGTTACGCAAAGCAATGTGCACCGAGAAATTGCCCAATTCACAGAACTGCAAATGAAGAAGAGAAATAATAAATCAATTGCAATTAAAGGCAGAGCATTATACCCGTTCATTATTAAACAGCAATGGACAAATCAAAAATTTTTTACCCAATAAAATAAAACGTAAAGCCTTGTCTTTAACTAATTTACAAGTCTATGAATTTCAAAGTCCAAACAATTTTATACATATCGTATAGGTATATATTATACGATGTCAAAATATTGTGGAATGTTTACGTATTTATTGTGGTTAAGCCACTTTTAAAAATGCATTAATATCTGTATTGCTAGAATGACTGGTATATTCATTACTACGATTAAGAAAAGTTTATTGAATATTTTGTACTGACTTGAACCACTGAAATCTTAAAAGTACCGTTAGATTTATACACCGATTTAGTAGCAAAGCAAAGTGTCGACGAAAACCCTGAACTTTAACCCTTTCTAATAACAATAATTGAGACGGTATATAAAATTCTTGAACATTGCTTAGCAATTATAATTCCAAATATTTACATAAAAATGCTAACACAAAGGTGTGACATTAACTTACCGCAAACAAAGCCAGAGCGGCCCAAACTTGCAACATACAGGGCGATGTGAAAAATGGATGATTGACATGATACGAAACGTAAGCGGTGAATCCCCAATAGTAAGAGCAATTTTTGAAGAGATTACGCAAGGGCATAGTGGAGTGAGAGAATCGATGAACAAAAATGGTTTCCAATAATCGCTTCACATAATGGACAGTGTAACATATCGCAGCGATACTGCAATAAAAAAGAAACAAAATTAGTTGAATGAAACACACTCACACACTGATATACACGCATGCACACCACATCAACAACAATACATTATAAACATACGTAGCCGATATAAAAGAAACTGAAAACTTTTGTCATAGTTTCTTTTTTTTAAAGAAACATGTTAATTATGCAAAAATTATACAAATTCAAGTTCGAGGTACAACAAATTTAGTAAAACGCTCTCAATACAAACAAAACGTAGACGTTCGTTTGGGGTCAAACTAGGTTAGGCATTTCTTAAGCGTTTGTTATGGCTATCAATGTTATTAATATTGGATAGAAAGATAGATGCATGTGTGCGAGTGTACGTGAGCGATTTGGTTGCTGGTTCATTTGTGTTGTTCCATAACTTTCTCAGATTTTAAATTTTAATAATTGGTTTTGAAAAAGTGCATACTTTCAAGGGAAAGTTATGGAATCTAATCTCTGTTATCACCAATCAAAGGGAATATTTTTCTTATTCATTATCTACAACATTACTTACTGGGTGGTCAGGGAAATGGGTTCTGTGGCATTTTTGCCATAAACTAATTCGGGGCGAGTGTAGAAAAGTAAATACACTATCAAAGGGCCGGCGTATTCAGCCAAAAACACAGTTTTCCAGCCAATTTGTGGTCCCAAATCCTTGACGTACACCTTATCACCGGCTTGTACTTTGAGGTTTCGCAAAGTCTCGGTATCTTTGATTGCCTTGCCTTTTGGTTCCAGACGCAACGATTGTCTATCGGCCGAAGGTGTTTGCTTAAATTTATTGTGAATAAGTTGCCTCAAGTATGAAATATCCGTTTCCGCAGCAACGGACATTTTTCCGTAGGGCTTCAGTGTTTTTGCATTAACAATTTCAATCTATAAAAATTCACATTTTAATTATTTATGAATTAATTAAGTATTGCAACTCAAATACATACCTCCATTTTTATGTAGTATATCTAATAGCTTTGGTTAATGACTGGAATTAAATACAGTCACGGTCCTCCACCAAACCGAGTCGAACACCTTCTTATAAAAGTTTGAATGACAGGTAGACAAGTCAAAGTTCGTATAGCAAGCCATGCGTTAGGGCACAGTAAATGCGAAAAGAATCAGCTGAGCGGTGTAACTTAAAGTAGGACGCAAACAAAATAATATGTCGTTTACTTGACCATGATTTTTCTGGAGAAAAAAGATTAAGGTTATTTTTTTACAATTTCATAGAACAACCAGAAAAGTAGTCGAATAAGAAAAATGTAATACTGTATCAGACTTGTATGGTGTCAAATATTTTTTTAACATGCATCAATTGGTTTTGTTGATTAGAAAAGAACCTACAAAGTATGGATTTATGTAAGAGTTTTTAATATGCCAAATTCATTTAATAAAAAGTAGTAAGAGGGAGCGCTATATTTGTGTGTGCCCTCTTTATTTTATTTAACTAAGTTTTACTAGGAAAAAAAGTTCTAACTATTATAACACCCTGCTTATTTTGCGATGGAATTGACTTATTAAACAATTTGGATTAACAACGGGGCTTTATCAACGACGCAAATGTTCCGATATTTTACATTACGAAAATTTTTTTCATTCCTTACTTTATTTTGCAAAAACCATCCAGCGCCAGTTCCATCAAGTAATAATAAACAACTGTTATTAGAAAAACTTATATTGTGTGGGAGATTTTCCACAGAATTGGATACAAAAAATGGGGAATATTGTTTTTTTTTTCCATAATTATATATTTACATTTTCCACGTTAATTGGCAACAACTGTTAATTTGAAAAATATGCATTTCTGTTACAACTAAATTTGAAATAATATCAAAATAGTTTAGTTTTTTATTCAAAACAATACACACTCATATATATACTGTGTATATGTTTTGATAAAATAGGACTACCAAAAGAAAAAAGTTGTATATAGGCAAAGCTTGGAAGCATTGATATGTCAAAAAATTTAAATGTTTTTTTCAAATATAAGTAGATTTTTATAGGTTTCCTTATACTACGTCAGTCGGCAGCTACTAAAATTCGCGTTTTTTCAAAATTTTTTACAAATTTAAATAATTTTTTATTTAACATTTTCAATTCCAATATTGATTTGACAGTTCATTGTCGCAGCAGCTGTGTCGGCGCGTCTACCTATATTCTTCTACCATAGGAGCATGGCAGAAGAATACAGGTAGATGCATCAACGCTTGGGAGCATTGATATGTCAATAAAATTCAAAAGTTTTTTCAAATATAAGTAGATTTTTATATGTTTTCTTATACTACGTCGTTCGAAGGCTATTATAACTCGCGTTTTTCAACAATTTTTACAAATTTAAATAATTTTTTATTCAACATTTTCAATTCCAAAATTGGTTTGACAGTTCATTGTCCCAGCAGCTGTGTCGATGCGTCTACCTATATTCTTCTACCATGCATGGGAGGTAGCTTTGTTTTATCTTCTGTAATTGCGTCATGTATAAGAGTTTGTATTAAAACATGTTCTATGTGAACCTACTATAACTTTCAGCTAAATACACAAAAGTCGTTATAATTGACGGCGGTATATTTGGTTAAAGTTCAACGCCGTCATTACATATAGGTTTTTTCGCGGCTCAGTTCTCTATTCTCTTAGCGTTCCTCGACAGATTGGATTTTTAATTACAGAAGAAATATTGTGATTTTCAAGCCTGTAGGATAAAAATAACATGAAGAAAAACAAACCAATATTGTACGATCCTCAAATAATAAATCGTGTCAAACAGGTGAGTCCTAAAAGTGAGAATACAAACGAAAAAGTTCGTGTAAGCTCCAATGTCAAAGCAAAGCATTGAGGCATGAAAAAATAGCAATGCATTCACACCGGCACAACTTCGAAATATTGGATGCAATCTTTGGCGGTACACTATACTTGTGTGAAATGAAATTAGGTTAAGTTGATATGGTTTTCAAATCAATAATTTCTCTCCATATTTTGAAATTTTCGTGTCACATCTGGTAACTTGATAACTGACTACTTGTGCCGCCATAGTACTTGGAGGAAAATGTCGATAAAACCTATTTGGATGTGACTATTATGACAAAACATTTGCAAGAGCGTTATCCAGAATATGCTCGTCGCAAAATGGCACCATTCCGGGCATTGGTCGAACAAGGTAATTGTTTAAAGTTAATAGCGTATTTGAATAAGTTCATTTAAAAATATTTTTATATTTTTAGCATACCATGTGGTATCACAAAGCTATGGACTTGATGATCAAGTGTCCAGTGGAGATGAATCTGATGCTTCGGATTTGGAAGTAATGGATGTAAGTATATTGTGTGTAAAAATATGTTTATACATTCGTTAATGCAGTAGTGTCCATGAGTTTAATTTGAGGTACAGGTGGTTGTAAAATAAACATTTTTGGATGTGTGGCAACCAATATGTTTACTTTTGCTCTGTACTGTTATGTCTGTTTATTGTATATTGGAATTAGTCAGAATATATAATAACTGATTGGAAAATGATAAGTTACATTTTCATAAATCATTCCTCTTTCTCCATTAAAACCGCTCCTATCATTGCATTGTTTAATAAATCACATTCTTATGTATTTAAAATTCTTGGCTTTTCAGGACTCTTCCAACAATTTAATGAGCTCCATGATGAGCGATTTGTATAGCAAACCTAAACCACCATCATCTTCTGCTGCCGCTGTACCTTCAGCAAATAAAAGTTCTGCCGAAGCAATCGACATTAGTAGCGACGAAAGCGGTGATGAATCTACTCCATCAAAATCAAATGGAAAAAATTTGCCCAAAGGTATATGTATGCGAAAATTTGTAGTACGTAAATTATAACACTTCTTTTTATATAGCTGTAAGTAGTCTACCCATATCGAAGAATTCTGCCATTACTGTTACCAAAATCCAAGTTCCCACATCATCTGTGCAAGATCCTTCATCGAAGGGTTCATCTTCAACAGCTTCTAATGCAACGGACTCTAATTCATTACCTCCCCTTCCACAACTTCCTGGCCTGAAACGGCATGAGAGTGCTAGTGGATCGAATCCAGCTACGGTAGGACAACCATCAAAAAAACGTAAGTTGGATGAAACAATTAATGAAACGTCAATGTATACGAAAAATCGTCAAATGACAAATCAATTCAACAAATTAGAGAAAAGCGACAATGCGAACAATGCCTATATAATGCAGCAGCTGCAACGTCATACCCAACAGTTGCGCCAGCAACAGTCCTCCTCAAATCGTGGCAATAGCAATGATTCGGATCGCCCCTTCAATGCTAACAGTGGCGGTGGTGGGGGCGGCAGTAGTGGTGGAGGTTCGCGTTCACGTAAATATAAAAAGGAAGTCCAATTGCGTAAATCTAGGGAAACTTTCCAAGATATTGGAGGCATGGAGAAAACACTTAAGGAGCTTTGCGAACTACTTATGCACATTAAATCGCCCGATATATATTTTGTATTGGGATTGATGCCACCCAGGGGCATATTATTGCATGGGCCACCTGGATGTGGTAAAACTTTATTGGCTCACGCCATAGCTGGGGTGAGTAATGCGTTCCTCTAGATATAAAATTGCTTTATTTAGTGGGACATAGTCAATACGACATTGGGTATGCCACTTTGGAAGCGTTTTTATTCAAAGAATATTTCAATAAAAAAATATATATTTTTTTAAATTTCAGCAACTTAATTTGGCACTGATTGAAATTCCTGCCACCGAACTAATTGCTGGCGTTTCTGGGGAATCCGAAGAACGTATACGTGATGTTTTTGATCAAGCGGCAGCATGTGCTCCTTGTGTTTTGTTCATTGATGAAATTGATGCAATCTCTTCTAATCGTTCTATGGCTCAACGAGACATGGAAAGACGCATTGTTTCGCAATTAATTAGTAGTTTGGACAACTTGAAATTATCTGAAGGTGGTCAGTCGGTTTTGGTTATTGGTGCAACTACTCGGCCGGATGTCTTAGATCCCGCTCTCAGACGAGTTGGTCGTTTTGATCATGAAATTTCAATTGGTATACCGACACGTAAAGATCGTAAAGATATATTGACCATAATATGCGAAGGTTTATCGGTGGAACAAAAGTGTGACTTCGACAAAATAGCAGAACTGACACCTGGCTATGTTGGCGCCGACTTATTGGCTCTCGTTTCAAGAGCAGCAACAATTGCCGTTAAAAGGAAGTTAGTAAATAATATATTTAATAGATATGAGGGTTGCTTATTTTAAAATTGTAATTTTTTAGATGTTCTGAGCAGATGCGTGCCTTCCAGCTGAAGGCCCAACGTAATATAACAATAGTAGATTTGGACGACGATAACGAAGAGGAAGGCGATAAGAAATCGAAGAGTAAGGATGATAATTCTTCATCTGATGCTTCGCCTGGTAATGACCAACAAGAAAAACCCACCGATGATACAGAAAAAATGGCTGTTGATACGACGGAAGCTGATACCAAAAAGAGGGAAACTGCAGAAGAACCCACTTCTTCCGATAAAAATAACGCAGAAGACGATGTAGAAATGGAAGATGGTACAAAGGAAAAAACAAATGAAAAAGACGAACCAGCAAAAGCAAGTCAGGAATCATCATCATTAAAGGCAGCAGAAAAGGAAGAAACGAAAAATAGCTCCAAAACTGATGACGTTGTTAGCGATGAAAACATAAAATTGCCTGAGCCCACATTATTTGAATTACTTAATTGGCTTGACAATCCACCGGAGGATATAACATTTGTATCTGAATTTTGTATAACCCTAAATGATTTCTGTGAAGCCGTGAAGGTGGTGCAACCCTCAGCCAAACGAGAAGGTTTCATAACGGTGCCCGATGTTACATGGGACGATGTGGGATCATTGCAAGATATACGCGAAGAACTGAAATTAGCCGTACTGGCACCAGTGAAATTCCCCGAGAAGTTGACACGTTTGGGATTGTCAGCGCCCTCGGGTGTTTTGTTATGTGGACCTCCCGGATGCGGTAAGACTCTGCTTGCCAAAGCTATAGCAAATGAGGCTGGAATTAATTTCATATCCGTTAAGGGACCAGAGTTAATGAATATGGTAAAATTGAAAAGCTTACTGTAAATATATGATATTAATTAATTTTTGTAATATTTCAGTATGTAGGCGAAAGTGAGCGCGCCGTCAGGGCGTGCTTCCAGAGAGCAAGAAATTCTTCACCCTGCGTTATATTCTTTGATGAATTCGACTCACTGTGTCCCAAACGTTCTGACGGCAATGAAGGTGGTTCCGGTACTAGGGTCGTCAATCAATTACTGACTGAAATGGATGGTGTTGAAGATCGGCAGGGTGTTTATATTTTGGCTGCCACAAATCGTCCTGATATTATAGATCCCGCCATTTTACGTCCCGGCCGTTTAGATACCATTCTTTATGTCGGACTACCGGAAAAACAAGATCGTCTCGAGATCTTGAAGGCAAGCACGAAGGTTGGAGGTCCTCAATTTAAATTTCTTAAGAATATCAATAAAGCTGAATGTTATTTTTTCCAGAATGGTACAAAACCTGTTTTAGGATCAGATGTTGACTTTGAAGAACTAGCATCATTGACAGATGGTTATACTGGAGCTGATTTAGCTGGTCTCGTGCGACAGGCTTCAATGATGGCTCTCAAGGAATCTTTAAATAATGCGGAAATAAAATTGGAAGATTTGTGTGTGTGCCGAGATCATTTCCAAAAAGCCCTCAAAATGTTAAGGCCTTCTGTCAGTGCGCAGGTAAATGTTAAGATAAATGTTTAATTTGTCATCTTTATAATCGTTTATGAATTTTAAAATTTGTTTTCTTACAGGATCGCAAGGTCTACGACAAGTTACGTTTAAAATATGCGGCACCTCGCGTTTCCATAACAGACATTGAAACAGCGGCAAATTAAATTTTAAGTTTTGCGTTTCCATTCTTTTTTTTTTTTTTTTGCATATTGTAAAATGTTCTTTTTGTCTGTAATGAAATGTAGTAATATCAATTATCAAACTAAATGTTGATACAATGCCAGTTTTCGAAAACAAAAATGTTAAACATCGTAGAATAAAAGTTAATTTTTATACATATTCTTAAAAACAAACAAACAAACATTTCATAATTAATAATAGCTGGACAATTGGCAAAGCATATTCCATACAAAACTCTCACATATACATTTACAAAACCAATTGAAGTTGTAAATTTCCATTATTTTTACAAAAAATAAACCGAATATTTGTAAACGTATATATATTAAAGAAAATTAATATAATAATGGATTTTTTTTCTATTTCATGGGAGACCATTGGGACATTAAATGTCTGTATATTGTTCGTAGATGTTTAATGACTGTCTATGTAAAATTCCAACCACACGAATGATTATTTTCAAAAGTTCGTAAGCAAATAGACCCTCGTTCGTTCTGAATTTTATATAAATAGATAGATGAACATTTTGGCCGCAGATCTTGGACATTCCAACAGGACTCAGCACGCGCCACCCAAGAATGGTTACAAAATGAGATTCCAACCAAGGCAACCAAAATTTCCCTTGGGCTATGGTGAATGGAGTATTTTGGAAAGCAAGGTTGGCACTAAAAAATACCAAAGTGTCGATCATCTTAAACAAGCGCTTCGCCGGGACTGGGCCAAAATACCGCAGAGCAACATTCGGGCAGCGTGTGATGGTTTCATTGGCCGTTTTAAGGCCATAATTCGTGCCAAAGATGACCAATTCGAACAAATCAAAAAAATTAGATGCTATTTCCGACATTTTTTGCTTTCATTCAAAAAAATTAAAAAAAAAAAATGTAAAAATTATGGCGTTTTACTTTGTTGCAGTTTTTTTTATCTCACCCTGTATATCTAATTCATTGTTTGAAAATCCCACATCTAAAGTTTCATATAATTTGTACAATGTGTTGATATACCATCAGAATATCAAGCATTTATAGCATTTGTCATTGCGTTTCCAACTCCAAGAAATCAAAGTCAATGGAGCCTACATTTCAAGAAGAATGTTTTATTTAAATTCATCATCTATCAACGATGGATAATAGCAATCAGTAGCTCTTTGGGTTTTAACATTAAATTTAGGTTGTATTTTGTTGTTGTTTTTCGCTTCCTCCTCGAATGATTCCGTCAAAAGAACTTGTTCAGATTGCCCAAGATTTGAACTCGGTTTCGTATTACTTTCTTCCTTCGGAGTAATTATGATTTTTGGCAAACTTGGTTCCATTTGACTTTCAAGCACTTCTTTTGCCTCACTTTCGTCTATTTGCGATTTAATACTATAGGCTTGTTTGCACATTTCTCGTATACCACACCAACTTTCACTGCTCAGTGGACTAATCTTTTCTGGTGGTGGTTGAAACCCATATTCTGTAGATGGCAACTCCATTACCAGGCAAATGGGGATTTTAACAACACCATATGCATAGTCGACCACAGAACCGGCAATGATTCGTTTGGTAATATTTGAAATGCTTCCAACACGATAGTAACGGCCATTGTATGATTTAATTGCATTCCTGGCGGCCATGGCCACACTTTCCATTAGTTTGTAGTCTTGGGGTAAGGATCTAAAAAAAACGAATCGAACAGAAATAACACACCAAAAAGATTCCCTACTAAACATATAATATGCATTACTGCATTGCATTTTGACTTAGAAGGATGTCCATTCTGATAAGTGTATGTGTGTGTGTGTGCGAACTATTCAACTTACTTGCTATGGCCCCAGGGATACATTATACATTGAGCATATGAGTGCAATGACAGAAAGAATAAAAGTTTTGGTGCCAGCTTGTGTAGCATCTGGGCAAGGGATTTCGTTTCCGGTTCAGAGAAGGGTTTATCGCCTGGATAAGTGTTTCTTTTCGCTTTCGATTTGCATTGATCCCAATGGATATCAAAATTACGATTACAATCTGTTCCCACATAGCCATCATCGTCGTGGGGACGACGATTTTTACGCCATCGAGGATTCTGCGAATGTAAGAGTTAGATAGAAAGTAAAGTTGTACAATAAATCATAGTACTTAAAGAGGAAAATCAAATGAGGGTTGCTATCGGTGTCTTGAGTCCTAAATAGATGAATTAACCTAGAAAGATGTGATGCTCAGAGAGCTATTTTATAACTTCAGACTTATAGCCAATATGGTTAAAATATTTTTAATCGTCTTTATGTACAAAATCTCGTGTAGAAAGCAAAAGTAACAACCGGCCGATTTGGAAACAAATTCAACATAGTTAAATTTTTATTAATCATAGTAAGATTTGTATTAAATAAGATCGACCAGTCCCTAAAATGCAGATTAATTTAATTTTTTTTTTAATTTCCACGAAACTGATGTTTTGTTTTAAAATGGTATATAGTAATCTACTCCTTGTGGAACTTCCCCAACAAAAGTTCAAAATAAAAATCATATGTCATATATCATAGGGAGTACCAGATACAGGGTGAGATGAAAAAACTGCAACAAAGTCAGGCGCCATAATTTATAATTTATTTATTTTTTTTTAAATTTAATTTAATTGAATGAAAGCAAAAAATGTAGGAAATAGCATCAAATTTTAGAATAAGTTTAGATTTGTTCGAATTTGTCACCTTTGGCACGAATTATGGCCTTCAAACAGCCAATGATACCGTCACATGCTGCCCTGCGGTCTTTTGGCCCATTCCCGACGAAGCGCTTGCTTGAGGTGATCAACACTTTGGTATTTTTTAATGCCAGCCTTGCTTTCCAAAATACTCCAAACACAATAGCCCAACGGATTGGTATCTGGAGATTTTGGTGGCCATTGTGCGCTGGAAATGATGCGAGGCATCTCATTTTGTAACCATTCTTGGGTTGCGCATGCTGAGTCCTGTTGAAATGTCAAAGGTCTGCGGGCAAAATGTTTGTGTTCCCAAGGCTTTAATACACCCTCCAGATAATAATATTTGGCATTTATTCTGATGCCACGGTCTATTATTACGAGCGGAGAGCAATCATCGGCTGTTACGACGGCCCACACCACCACCATGGCCGGCGCTTGAGTTCTGGTAGCCAACCGAAGGTGCACATTTTCAGCTGACCATTTTGGCAAGTAAACGCGATCATTTTGTTTGCTTACAAACTGCTGGACAATAAATGTTTTCTCATCGAAGCGGAGAAAACCAAATTCGGCAGTTCACCACTTTCGGCCAAGCGAAGCAACTCTTTAGCTCTTTTGAGTCTATTTTCTTTCTGTTGCGGTGTAAATTCTTGCACTTTTTGGAATTTTAATGACATTAACCCGAGTTCATTCTTCAATAATTGCCGAATGGAAAATTGCGATACGACCATCCATTTTTCGGGCGCTGCGTTGTGGGTTTCGATCACGTCGCTTCTTTACTTTTCGAACCATTTCTGCTGATGTTGCTGTTTTCTTCCGTCCACTTCCTTGACGTCGGGCTACGCTACCAGTATCACGATAACGATTTATTCACATTTAAATGCTGGAGTGCTCTAACGATAGCCACTTGCGGTTTTTAAGCCAAATATAAAGAAATCACACTATCACGCTTGAATTCCATCGCGAATAACTTTTTTTCTGAAAAATTCTCACCAAAATGCTTTTGTACGCTTGTTTATAATGAGCTGTCACTGAAATAAGTTTAATACCTCTCGGACGAGTGGCTTAGAAATGACAGCAGTCTGAAGTTGGTTGCAGTTTTTTCATCTCACACTGTATATATAAGATTTAATATATTGTGAAATTGTTTGATATCATAAGCTTATCGTATACTGCTATCGGCAAAACTGACCTAATTGTCTCCTCTAACTTGTCTCCTCTACATTTTATTGTATGTGTAAAAGAAATGATTCGATCCTAATCTAGGACAAATTTTCATTTTGTGTTTCATACCTTATTTTTGGAATATTCATAGCCATCGGGATTAACTACGGGCACAATAAAGAAACGCAATTTCCTCAACAACTCCCGATGACGGCCATTCTTTTCCGTCAGCTGGTGAATGCAGTGCAAAGCAACCGTTACGGTAATCCATTCACGAGCATGCGTGCCGGCCTCAATGAACACCGTGTTTCGGCCTCGTTCCGGTGCACACAACTCCAACTCCTTTAATTCCCCACAATATGTACTGGGCGCCGAAGAGATACGATTCTCTTTCGCCTGGGCCCATAAATTTCGTTCACTATTCCAATGAATTTCTATGGCTCGTATGGGACGTCTTTCGTAGGAGAGTCCCAAGGTGTGAAGCTTTACAAATTCACAATAACGTAAACGTAGATAATCCAAATATTGTAGAATTTCACCATACGATAAGTAGCTATTTAAAACATCCGGTCGGGGTAGCTCAATTAATCTTGAAATCGAGGCTGTTGATCTGGTGGGTCTCTTACGTTTTTCTTTTTTCAATTCCTTGAGGGCGGAGGACGAGGCACCGATGCGGCCTGTGTAAATGCGGCTGGTTTTGGCATGAGCCAATTTGGGCAGATAACGTTGTGATGCTAGTGACTGTAGGCTTAAATGTTGACCAGATATTTCCAATGGCTTATTACTGTTTGCCATAATTTTGATTACGATTTCCAAAAAAAAATTATATTTTTACACAAATAAATTTACAAACAAAAAATATTTAAAATTTTTTAAATTACTACTTTCAAATGCTCATTTGCTACTGTTTCTTTTTTTGTATTTTTAAATTTCTTTGGTAGTTTTTTTTTTCCTTTGTGATAAGTACTGCCAAGTGTTTTCTATGTTGGCCCAGAGGCAAATGAAGCCACGAAAGTTCTTAAGCTAGACTGACATGAACGTTTCCATGCAGTGGATTAAAGAAAAACAAAAGACTGTCGAACAACGACGACGTCGCTGGCAAAGATAAGGCAAACTATGCCAAACATTTTTTATGTTGAGTATGGTCGTTCCCGGTTCCCTAGTCCCTAGCAGTGGTAAAGTTTGTCCCTATCCCTATTATTAAAGGACAAAATGATTGTTTTTTTTTTCTTTCTCATAAATTCATAATATCAACACACGCAAACTTGCAGTGTCAACCGATTTTCTCCCACAAAAGGCGGCTCCTCTTCCTCGCTCATTCGATAGGTTCCCCCATACATGTCTTTTGGTAGAATTTGACGATATGCGTGTTGCGTGTTTATCTATTTATGCTAACTGCTAAAGAAAGAAAAATGTCTTTGTTTATGCTTGTCTCAGTCGTTTATATCGTTAAAAGAACATATAGGCATTCAAATTACCCGTAATCACTGTATAAATAATTTAGTCAGTTTCATAGTTTAGTTGGGTAGGGAGTTTGGTAGGCGCAACTGTTGATTTATTTACCAATTACGGTGGGACAAAAGGGTTAAGCATTTGTATTTATCATGATTTTGAAAAAGAAACCTTAGATTAAATAGATTTCATGGAGGAATTTAATAAATTTGAGTAGAAAAAGTAGGCATTTTATGATTGATGTTTTAACAATTAAAATATCAGCTAAGTTCGACCGGGCCAAACTATTAATACTCTCCAACATTTGGATGAAACTTGCAAAATGCAAAAAAAATCTATTTAAAAATGCCGCTATTATTAAAAAAATTCCATATGTTAGGCGTTTCAGTTATATGCGGCTATACGAAATTGTGGACCTTTATAGCAATTATATTCCAGAGATAATTCTATAAAAAAATGTAGCTAATCAAAATACCGAATATTGGGAAGTACCCTTAACGAGTGCTATACGAAGACGTGAATTGGTGTGGGTAATTTTCAGTTGTAGGAAGCAGAGCCCACTGCGAACTACAAATTCAGAGTTTTAAATATTGCTGCTAAAAAATGCGGATGAAATCTTCAAAATACCGAATATAGGGAGGTTCACCTATGTGGGAAATGTACGAAGATGTGGACCAGTATGGCAATTTTCTGTTATAGGAGGTAGTATCCATTACTAACTCCAAATACCAAAATTTAGACAATTCCGATGAAAAGGGTGACACAAATGATGAAAATACAGAATATAGAGAGGTACAGTTATATGGGGTCTATTCGAAACCGTGGACCTCTACAGCCAATTATCTACCAGAGAAGGTGGTATCTATTACGATGTCCAAATAACAAGTTTTATAAAATGTAGTCTAAAATTTTGGGAGGTACTATACGAAAACGAGGACCTATTTTGTCAATTTAAACACAATTCCGGTATAAAGGGTGATACAAAATATAAAAAAACGTATACTATCAAGTACCCGCTACTTCGTCAGCGAAAAGTCCACCTTAAAATTTTAGATTCATTTCACCAGATCATTTTAGTACTCAAAATTCACAATACGTTCATTATTTCTCGGTCACAATTCCCAAACAAAATTTTATACATCGTACTAACTAATCCGCTGCACCCGTTTTTCCTTTATCGAAAAGGATAATCGAAAAATGATTACTTTTTGCACCAAAAAAGATTTCAAAATTGTTTTCGTTTTGAAGTTTATCGAAGAGCATATTGGTTATAGCATGTTTCCATTGGAAACCGAACAACGTTGTTCGCTCTCAGAATTATGTACACGAATTAACCCGTTCATACGGCATGATTCGTAATTCATAGTAAAATAATTCCTTTTTTTTTAAAAAATTTGGTTGTTGATTTTAATGGGAATTTATACGAAAATGCATGAAATTGTCACTAATATAAATAGAAGAAGATATTGGTTTTCTCCCAAAGATTTATTATATTATTAACTTAACAATTTTCATTCATGTTTTGAACTTTTTGTGTAAATGTTGACATTTTGAACATATTTTTGTATTTTTCTATTTTTAAATACTGCTGGAGAGATACTTGTCAAACATTTTTTCTGCCGATACAAACATTTTGAAAATTTTGCCTCTTTCGTTTGAAGTTTTCGGTGGAAATTTTAACTCGTGGACAAAATGCGTACCTCAAATGAGAGAGAAAACTAAATTTACTTTCGTTTGAATGTACATACGCCATTCAACATTGTAGTTTTCATTCATAATTTTCAGTCTTCTCATTTTTTTTTAATTTCATTTTTCTATTTTTAATTATTAAATGTCATAATTTATTTTTTCAATAAATGTTCTTATTTGTTAGGGATGGGACATATTTTTTCGTTGTTCTGAGAGTGATTTGATATGAGGAAATATGAGGAAATTTTGTGTGAAGAATTAGGTAGTTTTTTCATAGTTAAGGGTCAAACAACGAATAGAGAGCGAATCAAGTGCAGTGGAAACGCCACATTAAACCCTTGCTAAATGTTTCTTTCCAAAACTATTAAATTCAGAATTTCAGCCTTTCACTCAATACCAAAATGTAGTAGCATTTAGTTCTTTTCTTGCAGTTTATGGTATGCATTTTAAAAATATTTTTCATATCTCAACCAACAGTGACCTTAATATCAAATTTAAGCTCTGTAATTTCCTCCAATACGAAATTTAGTACCATTTAGTACAATTATGGTACACATGTTCAAAGTTAGCTCTTTCCACCACAGTGAGATCCATCCAGACACCAACAGTGAGATCCATTCAAATTTTCAGGATTCCAGCCCAATGCATTCATCCAATACCAAATTTATTACCATTTAGAAATTTTTCCTGCAAATATTGGACGCATTTCCAAACCGCAGCTAAATCTCAAAAGCAGATAACATCAGTAGTCTAAATAACATCAGCCAATACCAAATTTAGTATCATTTAGTTCTTTTAGTACAATTGTAGTACAGATTTCAAAAAACATCTCCATATGTCGAGGATATACGTGAACAGCGATCCTGATACCAAATTTCAGATTTCAAGCACTATCTCTACAAGCAATACCACATTTTACCAAATATAGTACTATTTATTACTTTTCATGCATTGTAGTACACATTATCACAAATCCGCTACCATCAGGGGCCCAATACAAAATGTCAGCCTTATTCACCATAAACCAAACTGTACCAAATTTAGTGCCATTAAGTACAGTTCGCACACTTTGTACAGATTTTCAAAGCCATCTTCATGTATCAAATTTACATTATATATTCTCCACAGAACCAAACTCATTCTGATTACTGATTATCCATGAAATCTGGCATTATTAAAAAAAAACGTTAGATTGCGGACCCTTTACAACATCCTAAAAACTTGAAGATTAGAATATGTTTCTAAAAAAGTCAGTTGAAAAAGCCCGTTTAAACTTAATTTTTTTAATAAATTCTTAGAGCAAGATTTTCCCTCTATTCCTTCTAAAAAACTGTAAAAACCCATTCACAATTTATTATGATTTTTTCAACTCTTGTGTAGAAAGATGACATCCAGTGACATTTCATACAAATTACTACAAAATATCGAATATCCAACGAATAATCAACGATTTAATTATACCCTACAACACTATGTGTTGGGGGTATTATAAGTTTGATTGGGCCAAAATTTATGTAACACCTCGAAATATTGATTTCCCACATAGGAAAGTATATATGGATCTTCCTATCTCGCCGAGCTGAGTCGATCTAGCTATGTATGTCCGTCTGTCCATGTTAATTTGTAATCACTCTACAGGTCGCAATTATGGCCCGATCTTCACGAAATTTAGAATGAAGGTGGGGTTAAGGTCAGAATAGAACCCTATTTCTTTTGGAGATGATCGCATAATATTTAGGGGTTGAAATGGACCAAAAACTGAAAAAATTCCTGATTTTGCAGTTGCTCTACAGGTCGCAATTATAGACCAATCGACACGGAATTTCGCATGTAGCTAGAGTTTAGAGCGGGGAAGAAGCCTACCAATTTGGGTGGTCATCGGATAATATTTAGCGGGTAAAATAGAACATATATTTTGTGTTGAAAAAAATCAAAATTTTTCTTTAAGCCGTGAATATTTTAAATCCCGGCGAAATCAAAAGCCATGACAAGGTTACTTCTGATCTTTACATTGATGTTAACATCCACCAAATCGGATATATAGCAAAATATGTGCGATATATATGTCTATCAAAGAAGATATGCTTGAAAGATCTCTTATATGTCGAGAACGGCAGAACTGATTTCGACAGTTCTCATTAATTCAAAATGGCCTCTTGACAGGAAAGAAAAAACGTCTAAAAAAATCGCTCTAAAGATGAATATCTCTCTAAAGATGAAAATATTGATTTTGTAAAATTTTCTCATATTTTTTCAATTTTGTCATATTTTTGGCATATTTTCATTTTGAATTAAACATTTGGTAATATTTCTACAGCTAACAAAACTAAGTAGTTAGGATATCAGGATATCATATACAGATCGCATTTATGGCCCGATCCTTATGAAATTTTGCATGGGGATAAGATGAGGGTTAGAATAGGGGTTGAAATGGACAAAAAAAAAACTGCAAAATTGTCAGCATGTCGTAATTATCGCCCGATAGATGCGTTTCAGTCAAAAACCAATGATAAATGTTAATCTTTTGCCACTTCTGAGAGATTATAGGTCTTTGGGAAATATTGGTTCCAGATCTAGGAAGACAACATCTACCTATAAATTGGAAATGAGCAAATTAGTTCAAGTTTCTATTATTCGAAAATTAGAGAACGAAACCTGATGGTTTTCTTTTATTATTTGTCACAATATCTTGTGGAATTCTTTCGAGTATCTCGCCTATATAAGCTGTATTATTTATTATAGTGTTGTAGGGTATTCAACGGTC